TATATATATATATATATATATATATATATATATATATATATATATATATATATATATATATATATATGTCACATAAATGCATATTTAAACCATTATTTATTTTCACATTCTTGTTTCATAGCGGTGCTCCACTATTTATTCTGCGGAGGACACATTCTTTTTTCTGCGGTGGACACATAAATGCATATTTTCACATTCTTGTTTCATAGCGGTGCTCCACTATTTATTTCAGAAAAATTATAATATTTAAACCATTAAAAGCTTAGTGAGCTTTAACTAGTTATGTGGTAAGATATAATAGACATAGCTTTAACTATGCTAAAACGAGCAGGAGTGCAGAATAACTGATGCTACGCGCTGGCCCCTCCAGCGAGTCGCACCCCTTAATAACCTATGATCCGACCCACCCCGTACAACAAGCCCTTTTATTAGCGAAAGGACGCGTGAGACGGAGTGCGGTTCATGGCAATAGTAAATCTTTTAATCCCATTACTACCGCCAAGGCGTAGCGTGTTGCAGTGGTAATCAACTCAATGGTAATGGGATTTAGGTCTCTTACTATAGTATACAAGCCCTATTAGGCTGGTCATAGTGGGGAGTAACTTAGACTAGTAACATGTATGTTACTAGTGTATCTTACCACCTTAATAGTGGGGAGTAACATGTATGTGGTATCATGCAAGCCATTATTTATTTATTAAGACGTAGACTTATTTTGTTTTGGGATGTGTTATGTTACAGTAACATATTATGTTATTCCAACCATCTCTCTCCTTATTAAATATATGCCATGTAAGCAAATTTTTCTTAGGATGTATGTTACTTGCTATGTTACTCACACTATGACCAGCCTTAACCCTGGTAAAGTGCCCCTTTGATTAGCAGAGGGAGGAGTTTTCGAACTGAGTGTGGTGCATGGTAGTAGTAATTATTTCTAATTCCATTATCGTAAATGCTAGTATTTTTACTGTCTTTGTCAGCCACAGGGTCCGTGCGTAACGCATAGCATTGATAATGGAATTTAATTCCCTTACTATAGTATACTCGCCTTA